TTTCTTTTCCAGGACGGCTGGAAAAGAACGATGACGTTTATGAGGATCCGAAATTTTCCATGTACATTTTCTTTTTTAACTATGTTGTACCTCCGTCCCATATAGTAAGGAAAGACGACCAGACGCTGCTAAATTTAGTAAGCTATCAGAAGAGTGTTTACCAACGACAAACTCGTTGGGTTTAAACTTCTGGCTGGCCACGTCTTAGGGTCGTCACTGCCCCACTAGGGGGGGGGAGTGATCTGTAGCGGTAAATAAATCCCCAAAATAAATAGCACTAAGTTTTCGACATTGGATGCTGACCATATGTTTTAGTGGACTCACCTAGCTGAAGGCGCTCGGTCAGGCATCCGCACCAGATCACGTGTGGTAACGCCGTGCTCAACATCAACCGCAATCGCTAGCCAGATTAGATCAGAGAATTCCGATATATTGGTCATCGCCAAATATACTCTTCCGATCTCCTCGACTCTGTCTTTTGATTTCTCTGGGCGGGAACGAAATATATTAGAAGGTGTTACTGGTAGAAGCGTTGTCAAACACTGAATACCTGTGACATCATCAACACAAAGAAAAAGCGAGATGAAACAAAATGCTAATTAGTGTCGTATGTGCAATAATTCTTTAAATGTTCTGGAGACTTTACTGTTCTCCCAGGATGCGTTGTTTTGGGTTTGTTTTCAGATACTTTCAAAGTATCATCGTGAGTGATGGCTATCAGGTGAGGTATCGCAAGTGTAGTACTCTTTTCTTTCGATTGTGCCGAAAGAAAATCGACAATAATAAGGTTTCCCTCTAAATACATTGCCTTGATGCGATCGATGCTATTGTTTGCCCCATTCTTATGGATTAAATAGTACTTAAGTTCACGCTGCAGGACTTTGAAGGGTCCTTCGTATGCTGTATCGAGAGGTCGTCAAAATGAGTGTCGAAGTACAAAAACGTGTGTACTATACCGTAAGTCAGGTTGAACGAAAACATCAGTTGACTGCATTTGAGTGCAAACAGGTTAACTGAACGCATTGCGTCTGTAAGCTTGCCCGTGTAGGAGTTTAGATCCATATTCTTTAAAGACCTGAATGAGAAAGTTTGAGCAACGTATTGAAGACGTTGCGTCGATAATGTTTAGGCACGATTTGGCGATTCTTACCTGTAGATGTGTCACAAAGTAAGGTTTCCTTACCTGTTACAATCTGTTTAATGTGCAGTTTGAAGTTGTTAAAGATAAATCGTGCTGAAGATCGGCGTCTTCTTTTTGAAGCTGGGCGAGTCTCAGAAAGTCGATTTGTTGGAAACTATTCAAGGAATTTATTCGAGACAAGGCGTCTGCTACTACATTGTTTGCTCCAGAAATGTGTTGAATATCTGAAGTAAACTGCGAAATGTAATCCAGTTGTCGAAACTCACGAGGTGAGTACTTGTATGAAAATGAGCCTAAAGAGAAGGTAAAAGGTGAATTTTCGGCCTTCAACAGAGTGTTGAAGGTGCCGTACAACACAATACATATCTAGGAGTTCCCTACCGAATGTGCTATACCTCGATTCGCTAACTAGCAATCGTCTCGAGAAGAGTGCCCAAGTTTTCCAGGCTTAGTTAACCCATTATTGTAAAACTTGTCAGATTGCTGAGTCGGATGCGTCTAATGCGATACTAATGGGTGCTTGATTGTCCTGATGTGCAAGCATCGTTGCTTTCGCGATACTTTCCTTAATCATGGAGAATGCTTTTTTCGCGGTATCGTCCAAACCGATGGGTTTTGCATTTCCACAAAGTTTGTCGGTTAGAGGTTTCATAAGTGACCCGCAGTTTGATATGAACCGTCTATAGGAACTTACAAGGCCGTTAAACGTGTGTAATTGCTTAATTGTGGTCGGTTCTCAGTAATCAAGAATGGCAGGAGATGAGATTCTCTGTCGAGACTTGCTATCAAGTAGTCATCAGCGTACGTGTGTACGAATATTAGGCCACGAAAGGTGTCATCTATGGACCTTTGGAAGGTCTGGGCACTATTTCTTAAGCCGAAGGACTATGCCCTTAAACTCGTAGAAGCCGAAAAGTGTGATAGTAGTGGTTTTAGGAATGTCGTCAGCAGCCATATGAATTTGTTTATGAGATTTAACCAAGTGGATTTGTAGAACTATGGTCTACTTCGTTATTAGCACTGCTCTAATACCAGACTTAATCCTAAAATCGTAGATTTGTCATGGTGTCTATAAGTCCTTACGTGGAAGTCATTGTCTACACTGACACATAGTATAGTGACAATTACCAATATATTATGAAGAACATATTCAGATAGAACAATATAGAGATAGAACAATATATTTAATATGATTAAAAACAAGTTGTACAGAGCGACCACGCTTGCGAGGCCAAGCCATGCCATCCGATCAATTCGAATTAATTCAATTCATTGTTCCCGCCTTCTCCATCGTCGCGTTTTTTCTGCATTAGATGTTAAATATCTATTTCTCAGTTGTCTCGTGTTCAGTTTTGAGGATTTTCGAAACAACAGTTGTACCTTTCAAGGTAGCTGTCAAATCGTGAATGTGAGGCAACGCGTAACGATCGAGAATGGATTTTGCATTCAATCGCCGATAATCACCAGCTGGATGCCAGTCGTTGCTGTACTTTTTAGGGGCCATATGCAATGAAGATGCCCATGGGCTGTTTGGCGGTCTTTTGATACCTAAATCTATCGTGTGGTCGAATTCATTTTTAGCCAACCCCAGATTTCGTGAGCTAGTCGGCGCGCTTTCGAGAATATAGGCGGTCCTGTAGTCGTGATGTGATATGTAACATCGCTGGTTGCAAATCAAAGGTAACCTTTCAGTGTATGGCATAGTTCCGTAATGTCATTCTGTGTCACTTGAGGCTTTTCTTTGACTGGAAAAAAGTCAGTGTTAAAAGATTTGGCGATCTCTAAACTGAGGTCTGCAGATGCAGATGATAAGTCTTGCTACTTGAACGCTATATTCGGTTCCTAACCTGTTCTCGTAGTCCCCAAGCTAGAACTACACAGCGACCTGAACACGAGAGAAAAGGCACAAAATATGCGAGAAGCACTTTACTTTTAAGGTTCGTTCTTGTACAGAAAAACACAGGTATTTATAGATATTAGCATTTGTTAAATGAACATTATATTTTGGCCAATCCGCTAGAAGACATATTATGCTGCTGGTCAATAGTAGCATGTCACGTTGGTTCTCTGGAAAGTTCCACCATGTTCTGATTTGCTGGGATTCTTCGGCTATTATATGGCCTCTAGAGGCTCCGTTGTAGTTCTCGGAATCCGACTCAACAGCAGCCAGCTCGTCTACAGTGTTGTTTTGAAACGAGACCAGCACAGATTGCAACCAATTGAAGAAGTTTAGATAAGAGTTGTCTAAATAGACCATCATCAAAAGTTCTTCGGCCAATCACCTCTCCCAGCATTAACAAAACGTCTGTCGCTGAACCGTGTTGCGGATCGATATTACTAAGGAGTTGGTCTAACATTTATCGATGGGTTAGGTCTCTGCGTTTAAGAATAGATCATTTAAGAGTTTCGTAAGGTTCCGAAACATCCCTAGTAAACATACTGCGTGTGACACACCTGTTAAATTCGCGCGGTAGTTTCTTTACTACTGAGAGGAATCGTGCACGTGTATCGTTCAGACCGTGCTCATAGAAGTTTGCCTCCGCGTAGCAGAACCAGGCTTCAGTGTGGTCTGGCCAGAAGGGCATTAGCTGAAATGAAGGTGGAGTCATAGTCTTTAACTTAAGTACCTTGTGTGTCTTTTCCGTCATGGCAAAATATCAAGTACAAGAATGAACGAGGAGATAAAAGTTTCCAAAAACACGAAGAAATATCACAATATATAAAAATGAAAACAAAGCAATGATATATAAAACTCCAAAAGGCAACAAACTCACGGTTTGCAAGTTGGTGTACCAGATCACGTCGGACTCACCAATAAAGGAGGTGTGAAGATATATTATGATAGGCTATCAAATGACCAGGAGAAATTATCTGAATGGTCTCAAGCTTGGAAGATACAGATACACACTTGATGATCAACATTGAGCTACCTGCTATCCAGACCCACAATGACTTAACAGTCATCGTTAGCCAAGACTTTCAAACTGCTGCATACTGCCGTGAAATAGCAAAGGACCTGTATGACGCTCGACTGGTCAAGCTAATAATACTCCCATTGTCATATGGGAGATGCAAAGGTGACTTGATTACAGCGTTCGCGTTTATTTTTGGTAAATTCGCATCTGATTTGGAAAGCAGAGAATTTACGAGGACACTCCAAAAATATTTACAAGCCCAGAACAATTTCCTTTTCAGAGGGTCATCGATCGTTCCATCGAATCCTCAACAAACGTGTAGCCCTAAACAAAACCCTGAAATCAATAGCTCTGTAAGCCTTTGACATTGTATGCTGAGTACATTAGTTTTAATGGACTCATCTCGCCGAAGTTGCTCGGTTGTGCTTCCTCACCTGACCACGTGTGAGTACTCTGTGCTCAACTACTCCTAAAACTGCTAGATAGCTTAGATCAGTAACTTCTTTATATTTCAGTATTCTGTCAAATATATCTTTGAGTCTGTTTGCTTCTAATTTCACTTGATTGACACATTTCAATTATGAAAGTTGGTACTCGTTAAGGTGTTGTCAAACTACTAACACTTGTGAAACACGTAATTCAAGCTCCATTTGTCAATGCCTTCAAAAGAAAGTTGAATCAACTGAGAGACCACCACTGTCAAGAATAACGCAGACCATCTAGCCTCCTGTCTCTTTCAAAATGAAACCGATTGTAGAGCAAAGCAACATATATGTAGGTAACGGACTATATGGAAATCAAAAGCGATAAACGGTTATGTTCTCAGTATTCAGGATGGACAGTAAGTTCGTATAAATAAGCGAAAAACTGCATGAATTTGTCAGTCCATGTGTACATCGTAATCATACTGACTTTGTTTATTTAATTACTGAAAATTGGCTACCATGACAACAAACTCGATCTCAATAACAAAAATTAGCGTCGCTACGTCAAGTTCAGGGAATACCACTATCCCTTGCCAACGTCCTATGGATGAAAATAAGAAGTCACTGAATGATACATGTACAAAAAATTGCGAAATGAGTAACAGTTCTGCAGATATCGCACTTGGATCTCAAACATCAGATTACTATCGAACAGATAAAAGATTGCCATATCGCTTTAACAATCCCGGTAGACATTAACTAATACTTATATCTGCCAGATAAGTTTGGGGGTTATGATGGCCCGAAATTAAACCCACTGTATAGAACAACCAATTCAGAATATGGTAGGCTTAAACCAAACGTACATACGATGAATGTTGTCTATTACAACAAAAATCAGGAATTTTCCAAGGTATTCCACATAAATTTTATGCTGATTTTTAGCGTTACATGAAAGCTGGCAATTACAGGAATCACTCCTTGAATACTGCAATCGATCATAAATATTCATAATATTATGAATGTATATGTTCATAGTAATTACTATGCCATTGATTCAGAAAGTCAAGATAAACCATAAGATGTGGACCAATGTGTTGGGCTTATTTCAGTTATCAGCCCTTTGCGTGTATTGTTACCCACGAAAAGTGTATGTATTCTACTCAAAATACAATTCACTTGTGAATTCATGATTTAGATGTTCTTATTAGTCTTGTAGTTTAGCTAACTGGCTTAAGATTCAAGGTTTAAAGCAAAGTATGTGAAGTTACTGTAAGAATACTGAAAGTTATCCTACGACCTAGGTGGAAGATTGATACCTGCGTACTAAGATTCACATTTACCAAGACAAAAGTAGACAACATTTAATAAGGTCATCGTTGACTGTATGCAGATTTGTACAGTGAGTGAATTAGCAGTGTCTTTTAAAACTTGCATCTCCTAGAAAATATCGAGCATACGTGCCAAACACTAAGGACAAATTTTTTGACCATCTCCTTAGAGGAATGGATAGTCAAAGGGGAATTTTTCGTTGCTATTGCTTGGTAGGTCTTATAAACATGGGTCACCAAACCGTACGTATCGTAGGTAACATTGTGTAACATCCTACCAAGGCTCAGTGAAGACATCTGAATCCTTCTTTGGAAAGTTAAGAGTATTTGGGGAAAGTTGGGGTTTATAAGGAGTGACCAAACTAAGTGTCATCATTCAAAAACTAAGAATTCCCGAGTTTTAATTCCGAAGAAATCTTTAAAAGAACGTATGTCAAAACTTACTAGTTACTATACAGAATGAACGAAATGTGTTTTTATATAAACGAGATAAAGCCCTGTAATATTCTTGGGTTGCATGGAGATATTTCTACTTTCTTCCTAGTGACAAAACCTAATGTTATCTTGTATTCAAGGCAGACACGGTCTTGAGAATTGTTACCCACTGTTTAACCAAAGCAGGAACAATCAACAAGGTAGAATAACACGAACTCATTGCATTTCGTGGTTTCTCATCAGCTGTTTACAATCTAGACATAATAGCATCAATCTTTAAAAGTCAGTGTACATACTTTATATCGTAACATGGGAAGAGTTTCCATCAATCTTGATTGATGAAAAGGGTAACAAGTACGAAAGAACGATATAGGATTTTCATTTGTTAATCGATGTGAGTATTTATAGGTTGAATGTGAGAATATTCTAGAATAAACAACTAAAAACAAAACCACTTGGAAATAATATATTAATGGTAGTTATGTATTATTATTATTATTAATGGCTTTATTCAATATTATATTTTGGTACAATATAGAATTCTATAGTATTCGAAATTATCGTATGAATTAGGAATTCCAGGATTAACGCAATTGAATTAAGAAGACACAGGCACAAACGAATGTATTGTATTTAGAATTCGAAATCGAGCATTCAACAACTACAAAAGAATCATTAGTTAATTCAAACACCACATCCGCCACAGCTTAAATAGAAGTATGAGTGTTTGTAATCGGTTGTACGTCTTCTTGTTAAGTTCATCCTGAGTCTGTCCGACATTGTATAAGATAAAAACTTTGTAGTATCTAGAAAGTGCTCATTAGTATAGGAATTAACAAACGAAATCGGAACAGACTCACCTGGAATTGTATACAATCAGCATATTGGTTTTGTACTGAAATCATTAATATCTAGAATTTCAACCATAGATTTTTCAACACTATCCTCCCCCACGAAATAATGTTGGATCTTTATATCCCCAGGTTATGAATAATGTGGCTTCATTTAAAACATATTTCTCACATTGTTTAGAGTAAACATTAGAACTGTTTTTGTGATAAGGGTAAACAGCAGTTGATATGAAATCATCGGAAATATAATCAAACTCGAGAACACTTAGTACTCGTGCTTCGCATTGAGCAGGTTTTTCACAAGGATCAAATGCATTATTAGGAGAGATAATATATCATATGACATCAGGATTTGATTCTTCTGAAATATTCTCATGAAACTCATCAGGACTGTCATTGCACAGTAATGGATCATTAGAAAAATCAGCATCTATCCAAACCACATCAGGTTTCCGATCATGATTAGGTTCATTTAACATATTTTCCTCAATATTGCAAGTAATTTCATTAGAAATATGTGAATCATTAGGAAAAGTCATACCTGGTACAATAGCATGAGAATTCTGATAAATCGGTTGATTAGGAAATGTTGTCTCACAAGAATTCTGGATTTCATTTAACTCTGAACTGCCATATGACTCTGCACTGTCTTTTGAAATCGTTGATAAAGATAAATGATCATCATGAATACTCGACTCAGTAGAATCAGAATTACAAGACTTAATATTAATTGCAGTAAGATGAACATTAGCATTACAAACTGACTAAACTTGTCCAATATCACGACATTTGAAGCATTTAGAATTATGAAATTTACATGAATTAGAAGAGTGGAACTTGCAACAGGACAAACACTGACCAAACTTGTCCCCATCCTCGTGAACTGCATCCAAATTCAATGAATTGTCTGCATAACCTTGAGTATGCACTAGGTTGAGATGACGTAGTAATGTAGTGGACTTTTTTATATCCTCATGAATCATTTTACGAAATCTTCCTCCTTTACGACATTTGAAATTTGTATACTGAGCATAGTCTAGCAGTAGATCCTTGAGAGCTGTATAAGAAAGCGAAATGGGTTTTTCCGGCATAGCCAGAGTTCTTAATAAGCTGTATGCTTCTTTTCCAATGAATGTGAGGAAGTGTGCCACAATATTAACATCCTCATCATCTTCCTTGGTCATAGCCCAGATTTCGAACCTTTCAAAGTAATCTTCAAAAGCTTCTGAAGTTGAATGAATATCTAACTTTTCCATTGCAGGCTCCACCGCGACGCCAATATAGTATTCGAATACTCGTATGAATTAGGAATTCCAGGATTAACGCAACTGAATTAAGAAGACACAGGCACAAACGAATGTATTGTATTTAGAATTCGAAATCGAGCATTCAACAACTACAAAAGAATCATTAGTTAATTCAAACACCACAAATTCTCAGCACGGGGTTACTTACTGAACAACGAACAAAAAAGGCAGTAACGAATACATAAAGAAATATATAAAATAAAAATTTAAAAAAAAAACCCAAAAGAAACTACAAACTTTTAAAATTAAAGACATGTTAAGAATGTAAGTTATTGACTAAGTTAATTCTAACAACCTGTTCGTCACAGAGTATATTTGCTAGGTAAGGTATTATAGAACTTTTATACTTTTCCTTGCGTGCAAGGATTTTAATGTAATTACGTCTAGTTCTACCAGAAGATATACAAGGAGAAAGATAAGAGTGAAGGGGATGGCTAGTATCTGATAAAATAACACCTGCCAGGAGTTTGTATGATTTTAAATGTCTGTCCACAACCATATTAATTATGACCTCGAAAGATTCACCACACGTCTTACTAACTGCCTTTAGCACTCTTCGCAATACAGCAAAGTCTTTTCTCAAAAGCCCGGGAAAGAATAATGGAGAACAGTAAATAATAATAGGTAATATGCAAGAATTGACAAATTGTAAGAGAAAATGACGAGTAATTCCAAGAGCATGCAATCTCTTTGTGTAGTAGGTCAGACGGAAAACCTTCTTTGATAACGATAAAACGTGGGAAGACCAAGACAGATCAGAGGAAAAGGTGACACCAAGATAATTGACCTTCGACACCGCGTTTATCAAAGAGTCTCCGATGGTACAAGCACTATGGGATCTCAAAATAGTGTTTATATTCCGTTCATGTCTCATACTAAAGTTAACAGCTTGACATTTAGACGGATTAAGTATGAGACCATTACCAACAGACCAACAATCAATACGAGACAAAAACTCATTCATTTCTATGGGATGTAAAGAGGAAGATATAGGCATACATACAGTGAGATCATCCGCGTACTTCACAAAAGTGTTTTCTGTGGAAGATGGCAGGTCATGCAGAAAAAAAGAGAATAGAAGAGGTGAAAGAACAGCTCCTTGTGGTACACCTTCCTAAGACAGTAGAGAATCTGAACTCTTTCCTCCAAACACAGTGTACTGTTCCCTTCCAGAGAGGTAGGAACACAGCCAGTTGGTTATCCAGCTGTCAGTGTTGACGCTGATTAACTTGTTAAGTAAACGTTGTCTTGGTATAGAGTCAAAAGCTGAAGTATAGTCTAGAAAAGCACATCGAACATAGTTCTTACCCTTTTCTAAGTTGAACACTATGTTGTGATGCAGAACTGCAACAGCATCTAAAGTGCTTCTTTTGCGCCTGTATGCAAACTGGTATGAGTCAGTATGCTCTTTTATCACAGGCTGAAGTGGAAGTATTAATAATTTTTCCATGGTTTTGAGGAAAGGTGAAGTTATTGCAATAGGTCTAAATTTTACATTCTTATCACCAGATGCTTTCTTGGGTACAGGAATTATCTTCATCTTTCTCCACATTTTTGGTATGAGATTAGATGAGAAAGATCTGTTAAAAATAGTTGTGAACGGATGACACAGAACGTCAGCACATTTTTTAAAAAGGAGGTTTGGGATACCATCAGGACCCAAACATCGAGATGAATTAAGCGACTGGAGACATCCTCGTACATCAGTTTCAGTGAACGTATGAACACAGCTATTTTTTAAACCCGTGGATAGAGGGAGCATCACATCAGATGACTGACGTACAAAAGACTTATTTAAGTCACAAACATTCAGCTGGTTATCGCTTCTAAACTTTCTGTCACCTGTAAGTTCTTTAAAGAATTTCCACATACTTGGAGAGTTTTTGCAAGATAAAAGCTTTTTAGTAAACATACAGTTGAGACGTCTAATCTCTAGGTTTATCAGACCATTTAGCTTACGAACTTCATTAGAGTTCTTCTCCTTGTACATGCTTTCTTTCATCCTTCGTAGTCGTTTTAGTTGTGAAGATGTAAGCCGATCAAAACTTACAAAAATGGTTTCGGTGGGACAACAAATATCAAAACAGAATTTAAGGTAACAAGTGATTTTCGAGTGAGTCATCTGTAAATAATTCCCAGTTAGTCGTATGAAACATGTTTTTCAGATTTCGGATATTTTCTTCTGTGTAATTCCTATATTTGACTTTTCTGGTTTGACGTAGGAGTGTACTATTCCCATGCTTTCCATATACCTTAGGTAGAACACGAA